AGCTATAATAAGAAATGGACAATGTGTTAACAAAAAAAAAAAAAAAAAAAAAAATATGCAGGAAAACTGAAGATAATGTAAATAACTTTTATAATTTAAGTGTCACCTTGTTTATTCATGAGATAAAGAAAAGATTAGCTATTCTGCCATAGTACAAAAATAAAAATAGGAACAATTAAATCAATATAAATGCATCTACGAAAGTATATATTTTTAAGTACCAATGAATTTATTACAGATTTAATATTAACAGATCAGTAACTGTTACTTATGTGAGTATACATAACCCGATGGCAATAACATCCTGCTGCCAGTAGTCAATATAAGACATTTTGAAAAGCAAACTTCTACTGGGACTGAATTGGTTGATAAAGATCCTAACAGACACACTTTGTCCCAATAAAAGCAAGTTCTGCAATGTGCCTTTTTTTTCAAAATAAGACAAAAAATAACTGATGAAGCATAATCCCAACATTTATGGATATAGAAACAAAATATAGAACAAGCTTTTATTTAGATATTTTACTTAGGGCTGAGAAATGTACTCCTCAATAAAAGCTGGTTCTATACAATGTCTTCATACCAAAGATGAGAAAATATGATTTACAAACATTTTTATAAGACTAGAGGTTAGCAGAGTACATTATCATTACAATAAAATGAAGGGCTAAACCTACAGGAGTCATACAGCACTGCTAGCAGAGTACAGTTAGGTAGTGTCACCCATTCCTTGGGCTGAATAACCATCATGGATTTACCCTGGATTCTCAAACCCAAGGTCGTGGCCATGAGTGATTACCTGTTTTTCTTAACATTATGCTACAAAACTATGGTGATTTGTTGGGGAGCTATTAGGCACTGCTCCCATTTGTTGGGGTGCTATTTAGGCACTGCTCCCATTTGTTGGGGTGCTATTCAGGCACTGTTCCATTTGTTGGAGTGCTATTTAGGCACTGCTCCCATCTGGGTTACCGAGATAATGTAATTTTGGTTCATGGATAAAATTTTGGGAATTATTGGTTTATGTTTCACAAATCTTTCATTACACTCATGGGAGGAGCACTAAACCCATAGGGGTAACAGAATGGAAAGTTATTGGGGGCACTTAAGTTCGATCCAAAGTAAGATATATCCAATTCCTTGGATCAAGAACCCCTCACTGACATCAAGGCGCTGCCCTTCAGGGGTTCACTAAGTACAGTACAGCATTAGTTTAAGTACAGGAGGCCCTGCTTTACAGTGCTCTGTATAGTGGTTTTCAGTTACATGTATATCCATTCTTCATTTATTCAGACTTCTTACAATAAATACGGTATATTCACCACTCACTATAAGCTAAGGACCAAAATATTTTAAGGTCAGTAATGTGTTTACTGTATATGAGGCTTTTATACTTAATTATATTGTTCACTTAACCCTTTCGAGGTCGGTCCTCTTGTTCTACTGCTTTGAAGCCAGTGTCGGTCCCACAGTACTGTGCCATGAGCTCAGCTCACTTAGGTAAGCTGTGAGCAGTAAATCTGGGCCTAGATATGAAAGAATGGGTCTATGTGGTAAGTGTGCACCACATAAAAAAAAAATCCTGCAGCACACAGTGCATAACGGGGAAAAACTGCAACCGTGTTTTTGGTTTACAACAGCAAATTTATGGTGCATTTTTGTATGGTTTTTATTGTTGTATTTTCGGTTTCTTGGTCTCACTTGATAGAAAGGAAGATATATTACAGAAATGGAGACGAGTTTGATTGGTTCCAGGACGGAAAGTAGTTTGAAATTGAGCTCGAAGTAGCGAAAATGTTTGATTTTTGCTGATATTTCAGGGAACACAAATGACGTCACTAGTTCAATACTCATTTATCTGGCCACTCAAATATGCATTTACGAATGCACTGACATTATTTGTACAATTATTACAATAATGCATTAGTCTGCATAACAATAAATATTCTATTTTTTTGTGAATAAAAATTCAAAATGGAAAGCAAGCGTAATATAGAAGAGGCCTGGGGACATGTCTAATGAACAGAGAAAATGTAATTTTTGTGCCAGGAATGTCCACATTGTTTATTCTGGACCCTATTTTGAAACTGGCCATTTCTTGAATTTTTTGTGAAATTGACCAAATTACCAATTTCTGATCACTTTATTGGGTAATTGAAATAGTTGAATGGGTAGTTTCTTGTACTCAAATTGATAGAATGGAAGACATACTAGTGAAATAGTAAATAATTTAGTCAACTGGAACAATGAAATTGGCCTAAAGTCAGACTCGAAGTGGACAAAATTGCTGATGTGTAAATACTGCTGACACAGCAAAATTCGAGAAAGCGTAGTTTCGTCAGTTTTCCATCAAATTTTGTACTTTTTGTTTTATTACCTTCAGAAAAAGATTCTCTACCATTTTATGAGAATGTTTTTTTCTAAAATTTTGTGACCCTGACAGCAAGTTTGAGAGCATTGAAAGGGTTAATAGTACATGATAGTGTAAACATTGTTATCATGCTTATACGTATATGCATTTGAAAGTGAAAAAAGACTATGATTCGCTTTACAGCAGTAGCCCAGACCCTAGCCTGCAGTATAAGCAGGGCCTGCCTGTACTTAGGTTACAGTATTATACAAATTTTGCTTCCTTCAATGAAGTATAGGACTGCACATGTTAGTTATTAGGTATCCTGTACTTCACTGCCATATTTAAAAAAAAAAAAAAAAAAAAATCATCAATGAAGTGAAAACAGCAGACTTCAAGTATTCTGTGTAGCTTTTCTAAATACTAGTAATGTAGGTGTCGAGTACAGCCTCTCCTAACTTAGTGACATAGTACTTGTTTACTGATGCCTCGGACTTACGATGGGCTCTCTGACCAGTATTTATACCTAAATAATGTATATTACAGCTGATTTCCTCTATTCTGCTTATTTCAATATACAGTACACTACTGCATAAACATTTAAAAATATACCAGAAATGTTGTAAATGGTGCACAGGTGACATTAAAACAATATCAAAGATGGCTGACACAAACCAACTACAGTGGAACCTCAAATATCGAACTTAATCCGTTCCAGGAGCTAGTTCTAAATTCGAAAAGTCTGAAAATCGAAGCAATATTTCCCATAAGAAATAATGGAAATACAATTAATCTGTTCCAGAAACCCAAAAATATTCACAAAAAAATACATTTTATAGAGACTAATTACAGTTTTACATACACACAACAAATACTATAGTGTTCAATTATATATAAAAATGTAAGATAACATTTTTACTTACCTTTATTGAAGATTGGTGATGGCATCTGGAAGATAGGGAGGAGGAGAGAGAGAGTTGGGGTTAGTGTTTGGAAGGATAATCCCCCTCCATGAGGACTTCAGGTATAGCCCTCTCTGGGGTTACTTCCTTTCTCTGTCTTTTAATGCCACTAGGGCCAGCTTGAGAGTCACTGGACCCGTCTCACAAAATAACTGTCTACAGTCCTCTGTTTCTGGCGCCTCTTTAACATTTCCCTAAAATGGGACATGGTTCTGTCACTGAACTGGTTCCAGGAGTTTTCTGTACCAGATCAGCATGCAACTTCCTTGCCTTTTCGCACATAATCGTCCCTGAAACACTATCACCTGCCATCTCTTTATCCTTGATCCACACCAGCAACAACTTCTCAATCTCTTCAACTGTTTGTGGTCTTTTTTTTGGTTAGCATATTAACACCTTTTGCAACATCACCTTCCTTGATTTGTTCTTTCTTTGCCAGGATAGAACCGATGGTCGACTTGTTTTTCCCATACATCCTGGCAAGCTCAGCAAGTCTCACACCACTTTCATACTCCTGTACTATTTCTCACTTTCTTTACCACAGAGTTACCACTAGCAAGTTTCTTTGGGCCCATGGTAGCTTATTTCAGTCCCACAAGCACTAAACAATGAAATAATCGTAAAACGTTTGAATGAAAGCGCAGGTTAGTGTTCACTCAAGCATCAACAAAGCCAGACTGGCTCACTACGCCTGCGCGAGGACACGGACAGAGCAGGCTGGCGGACAGGTCCGGTACCCAGCAGTCCGAAAATAGGGGCGCGTTCGATAATAGGGACAAAGTTGGTTCGAAAAAAGGGTTGTTTTTGAAACGTTCGATAAGTGATACGTTCGAAATTTGAGGTTCCACTGTACTTAGTGATGAATTCGTTTAACGATGTGGTCTTAGGAACGGAACTCCATTGTTAAGTGAGGAGAGGCTGTATTGTCTTATAACTTTAACTTTGGTTTGATGTAGAGACTAAATCAGAAGTAAAGTCATGAAAGAGCTTCATCTTCCATTTAACAGGCAGCAAAAGAGTTTGTTTCAAAAAAGGACATTTAAGCTTATTTTAAGTACTCGTTTTTGGCATGATAATCATCCTTAGTAGTACAGTACATCAGCTATAAAAGCTCAAATATAAGTGAAATATAAACATTCAGGCTCCACATATACTGAGTAACTAAGTATCGCTATCCACAATAATATATACAAATATGAATCATACTTTCACACCATAAGATTCATGTAGTAGAGCATTTTTAATATTTAAAGCAGGTTATATGTCAAATATTTCATCAGTGACAAAATGAATATTTATCATCCTGGAAATATTAAACTCAATTGTCATGCTCCTGACATTAGCGAAGACATACTTTGAAGAACAAGCTTTAATTAGGACAAAATTTTTCTGTGTAGAGCTTTATCAAGTCACAAGTTATTATAAATGTTCTTCTAATGAAAGCTTGCTCTGAAACTTGTCCGTTCTTCTGAATACATTACTTAAACTAAATTCACAGGTATAAAATGTTACATATGACTAATAAACATGAAGCAGGACAAAAAAAAAAAAAAAAAAAAAAAAAAAAGTCCAAGTCTTCACTTATTTGTACGCATAGAGGAATGTGCATATTTTGTGACATTGTACATTATTGTGACATGGAAGACCTCAGGTTATATAATAAGGGTACAGTAAATACACTAGTGGCAATCTACTGAGTAACCCACCCAAAGCAGAAATACAACAGAGGCAGTTTACCGTGATTTTTTTTAGTGTTCTTTTTTTTTTAACAAGTTGGCCGTCTCCCACCAAAGTATGGTGACCCAAAAAGAAAATACTTTCATCATCATTCAGCACTTTCACCTCACTCACACATAATCAGTTTTTGCAGAGGTGCTCAGAATATAACAGTTTAGAAGCATATCCGTATAAAGATACACACCATTCCCTCCAAACTGCCAATATCCCAAACCCCTCCTTTAAAGTGCAGGCATTGTACTTCCCATTTCCAGGACTCAAGTCCGGCTATATAAAAATAATCGGTTTCCCTTAATCCCTTCACTAAATATTACCATGCTCACACTCCAACAGCTCGTCAGGTCCCAAATACCATTCGTCTCCATTCACTCCTATCTAACACACTCATGCACGCTTGCTGGAAGTCCAAGTCCCTCGCCCACAAAACCTTCTTTACCCCCTCCGTCCAACCTATTTAAGGACGATCCCTACCCCGCCTTCCTTCCCCTACAGATTTATACGCTCTCCATGTCATTCTACTTGGATTCATTCTCTCTAAATGACCAAACCACCTCAACAACCCCTCTTCTGCCCTCTGACTAATACTTTTATTAACTCCACACCTCCTAATTTCCACACTCCAAATTTTCTGCATAATATTTACACCACACATTGCCCTTAGACAGGACATCTCCACTGCCTCCAACCGTCTCCTCGCTGCTGCATTTACAACCCAAGCTTCACACTCATATAAGGGTGTTGGTACCACTATACTTTCACACATTCCTTTCTTTGCCTCCATAGATAAAGTTTTTTGTCTCCACATATACCTCAACGGCCAGTGCGTTAAAAAATTACCAATTCAATGAAGAATTAAAAAACATTATTCCAATATACTCTTGTGTCAGGAGCTACTTCTATTACAAAAGAACATTATTAAGCAAGATTACACAGTTAATTCTAACAAAATATTTTTCACTTGACCTAATTTATTTAGAAATTATATGAGCAGAGGCAGGAATAAAATTATAGAATTTATCAAGGTAGAAATGTTTAATTTGTTTGAAAATAAGAAATGAATACTCTATGTGAAGGATGTAAAATATATAGCAAGGAGTGAGAAAAGAAAATTAAACAGACCTTTTTGACTGGGAATCCATGGCTATTCAAATGCATGCAAATAAGATGTCAAGAGAAGAATTGTAAATGAAGTGTAAGCAATTAATGTAGGTTTCTCAAGATGGACAAGTACATAATTATTATTTATACATGCTTTCTGAGATAGAAAAATAAATAATTATTTTAAGTTTTCTATAATGGATAAATAGATAATTATGTTTTCTTAGAAGGACCTACAGATACTACAGTATACTTGTAATGAGGTACTGCATTTACATGTCGAGAAAATGTGGAAAAACTGCAGGCAACAATATAGAAATAAAGGATCAAAGATTAGATAAGGAAGACTTAGTAATCCAGTCAACAGGTAAACCAAGTGGTCATAACTATAAACTAACAAAGTGAATGAATGATGGCATGATTTATAAGAAATAGTAAGTGCTACAAATACCTGAAACTTCAAGAACTTTGCGATAAGACATATACGTACTAAACACAGAACATGACAAGCTTAGCTGGTGCAAACAAAGTATATCATCCTGACAAAATGTTTAAAAGATATGCTTGTGCAATGTTAGGCCAACCACTTCTTGGCCTTTCACCCTCATAACTGTGGCACATGAACATAGTTTAGGATTGTGACACATCTATCAATACTACATTCTTAATGTGATACCTCAAACACTTTCAAAATTATGTACCAAATTATTGGAAAAACAAATAAACTATGCCATTAATGCTCCTCAGGACCAGACTTGTAAAAAACAATTACTAGGCAGTGTGAATAACACTACAAAAAATGAGGTAGACATGGCAGTGATATGAATAATGCAATATGAACTGCATATAATTCTGATCCGAAGACAAAGTGAGTGTAAATCACTGGTATATACTTGTGAACATACGGAACATAAACTGAAGTTCTAATTTATATTCGCCTTGAAAATATTTTGGAATTTGGAGACAAAGTAGACTTTTGCATATTGAATTTGGGTGACTGAGATGACAGAATAACATGACTAATGGAAATATTTTGCTGATTCTGGGGGCATTCCGTGGCTTCAGAAATATTAATTATACTTGGTCTGGGGTCAGGATGATATTGAGGAAGACCTAAAGCACCAGAAAACATTATTTGACCACCAGAGAATCTAGGATCATCTCTAGGAGATGTCTGAACAGCTTTCAAATTTACAAGACTTTGTGACTGTTGCATACCTGATATAGAGGGATTCTTATACAGAATTTCCAGATTATTTTCATCACTTACAGAAGTCCTAGAATTCTTTAAATTAAGAACAGTCTTTCCTGGAAGAACTGAACTGTATGAAGCAGCTTGGTGTATAACTTTTTGTGTACATCCCATTTCTTGGATAACTTGCATAGTCGAAGATTTAGAGCTTACCACATTTTGACGAAGATTTTCTGATAGTGGAATCCTCGAATGTGGGTTTTCTGGTGATGGAACAACACTCGACACAGCACTAAGAATACTTATTTGAGGTAACTGCTTATTGCCTTCAGGAGTGCTGGTCTTTGGCCCCTCAGTTATTTTAGTTACTTTTTTTGGATCAACAGCCACTGTTACTTTTCTTGCTAAAGCTTGCTTTAAGTTATCGGGTGTGCTGGTCTTTGGTGTTCCCTTTGCTATTTTGTGATCAGTTGGAGTTTTAACATGTGGTGTTCTCTGAACTGACTTTGTTATTTCACTTTCTGCTGTAGACTTGGGTTTGAACTCTGTAGGAGTTTCCAAGCTAATTTTTATTGCTGGAGTTGATGGAGTGACACTCTTAGATTTAAAAGGACTTTTAAGACGGGGAGTGTCCTTGTTATCATCTTTCTTTGGCGTTATGACATGAACTCTGGGTCTTCTAAAGACTTTCATGCCTGCTTGTAATGCCTTTGCAGTACGATCTTGTAGAGAATTTCTCCTCTGAGCAGACTGTCTATGTTTTAATGGTGATTTTGAGGGCACCTGGTTAGGATGTTCAAATCTCTCGCGTAGTACAGAGAACTTGCGGCGAGGGCGGTTGAATTCCCCCGAGGCTACAGGTGTAGTCCCAGGATCCCTCTGGTTTACAACCAATGAACTGAAAGCTTCTGATCTGTCACTCATTTGTTTTTCCTTTTCCATTTCTTTTCGCTCTTCTATCAACTCACTCACTTCTAACAGCATTTTGTTATCTGGTACAGAAATGGCACGCATCATTTCTCGAGAAATATCTCTTGTGCTTCGTCTAGAAGCAAGAGAACCTACCGAGTTATTCTTTCTCATTCTCTCACTATAATATCTGAAAGATAGATCAGACATGGTAGAGTAATAAAGATTGCAGAGTGATTCTTTTGCATGAACATCACCAATAGTAACAACAAGAGATGACCTGCTATTTGAAGAAGTAATTGTGGAGGAAAAGTTATCACTCACTGGCTTTTCCACGCCTCCTATCCATATGGTTTCATAGTTTGGGATATCATTAACAGAATTTGATTTATTTACAGGTCTGGCAGCTCTCAGCTGATCAAGAGTGTCCATGAGTCTCTTGTTATCTTTCACTTTAACCGGAAGAGATATAACAGCATCTTCTTCTTCCTCTGGTTCTTCAAGACAAGTTTCTAATTTGAGTGTACTTAAATCAGGTAATGATCTAGATAACACTGACTCGCAATCATCAATCATACTAAGTGACCTACGACTCTGAATGCCCTTCAGTATACTATGCTCAGAATGAAAACTTGAAGACAAAGTACTGTCTAGCACTTTCAATCTCTCTTTTGTTGTACTATTGTCATGAATTCTATCTTCAATATCTGAATAAGTTTTCCAGTGCCTGACTCCCCACATTTCCCTGTTGATATTAATAGCACATATGTTTTCATAATCATGAGGTACAGATGACAGAGTTGTTTGGGTTTCATTAAAGTTCTGGATAATGAAGTTAAAAGGTTTAGTTGCAAGATTTCTATCAAGATTATCTTTTCCTCCATAAATATTTTTATAATTTGTCTGGCATCTTGAACTCTTTTCAGGTGAGTCTATCTCTATTATGTGCATTCTGTCAATTACTGCTAATTCTACATTTGGCAAATGAGGTTTTGCAAGAGATAAGTCTTCAGAACCATTTCTATTAGCATCCTGAGACTCAGAGGTAACATTTATAGTACTTGTGATACAAGGTAATGAAGTCAGTCTTATATCAGTATCAGAGATTATCTGGTCTTCTTGCCGCACACTATTTCTTAAAATACTTTTGTAATAGCTATCAGTCCTTCGTAATCTATTCAGACTGGTCTGACTTGTACTTACTGACTTATGGGGAAGACCAACATTGTTGGGACTAGAGTATCTAGTTAGGCTATGATAAACTTTACTAAACATATTATTTTGACTACTAAGAGAATGGGAAATATTATCCAAAATCCTGTCCTCTTCTTGTTTGTTGATCATACCATTTCTAGTTATCTGATATTGACACATGTTAGGTATTCCTATTTGAGAGTAATACTGTGCGCTAGGTACCATCTGAGTGCAGCACTGTATAGACTCTCTCTTATCACTGCTTCTCTCTTGAGAGCTTTCTTTAATTTGATCTACTTGATCCACACCTTCAAATTCTGATGAGGATAATCTGAAGTTTAGTTCCCTATTAACACTTCTTTCGAAAGAACTTGGACTTAATTTCTGCTGTTCCTCTGGCCCATCACCAATGTCAGACCTGTTAAACCTATCACTTAAAACATTGTCTTCACTATTTTCTTCCTGTGGCAAAGTATCTATTTCAATATCACTGCTGCATGACACATTCGCCAGAAGATCTTGCACTGAGCACATGATTCCTAAAGGCTTCTGATCCTGTAAATATGGTAGAGTAGATACCGGAGTTGAATCACATGAGGCAGGTGAGCTTTCTAGGCTGACTCCAGGAGCTGACAAAACACTGAAAAGACAGTGGAGACAGTTGCAGGTTAAAAGCAGATAGGAACCTGTGATAATACATAAAGAGTTGAGCACCAGATGTTCATATGGATGGGCACCACAGATGTTCTGAACATATGATCCATCCTACCTAGCTGACCAAATTGCTAAGGGAAAATTTCAAAGACAAAACATTTAAACATCAAACAAAGATGAACATATTGATGTTCCTGTACCAAAATAATTATCTAGGGTATTAGATTCAGAATTTTTGGTGCCTGACTGTAGAGACAATATAATGTAGTTTTTTTTTTTTCAACAAACTGACCGTATCCCACCAAGGCAGGGTGGCCCAAAAAGAAAAACGAAAGTTTCTCTTTTTAAATTTAATAATTTATACAGGAGAAGGGGTTACTAGCCCCTTGCTCCCGGCATTTTAGTCGCCTCTTACAACACACATGGCTTACGGAGGAAGAATTCTGTTCCACTTCCCCATGGAGGTAAGAGGAAATAAACAAGAACAAGAACTAGAAAGAAAATAGAAGAAAACCCAGAGGGGTGTGTGTATATATGCTTGTACATGTATGTGTAGTGTGACCTAAGTGTAAGTAGAAGTAGCAAGACGTACCTGAAATCTTGCATGTGTATGAGACAAAAAAAAGTCACCAGCAATCCTACCATTGTGTAAAACAATTACAGGCTTCCGTTTTACACACACTTGGCAGGACGGTAGTACCTCCCTGGGCGGTTGCTGTCTACCAACCTACTACCTAGGATACTGTAGTTACGGACTTATATTTTGAACTCTATTATGTTTATTTTTACTTAAATGCTCAATAAAATCCACTTAAATTAATTTGAAACTAAGAATGAAGAATTTATTTCCCCCATCCCTTCCTCACATTAGAAGGTCTGCGACACTTGCTACTGTTGCTAGTACAGTATGTTAGTCTACCTCTGAGTAGAGGAGTACGTATAAAAAATACTCCTTCAGACCAGATCCCACTGAAGAGAGATATAAGAGAGTGAGTGTTGAAGTGTGCAAGTGTTGAAGCATAGAAATATATATACTCAGACACAATAAACAGAATGCTTGACAGTGCCAGTGTTAGTTCAGAGTATACATGGAACATAATAGGGATCATCACTGAAAGGTAAAAATGCAGTTGTGTGGACTCCCATATATGTTTATACGGTCAAGGGACCAATGTAACTATCAGAAATTCTGGAAAAAGTTATGTCCCACTGTTCCACATCTGCACTGTGAAATATAGAAGCTAGGTAAGGCAAGTACTTACATGGGTACACGGGAGATAAAAAGAGGACTATGAAGTCCACTCAAAGGCTAACTGCTGAGAAAAATTAACTAATGTATCTCTATTTAAATTAAAAGGTATTGTATATTATCTAGGTGTTTGAGCCAAGGATAGTACAGCAAAATTCTCTCTCCACCTTTCACTTTCTATAGCAGGAAAACTGGGGAATATACCATACCATATTGAAAAAATGGCATAGAATTTGCAGATGGAGGTGGTTAGAATCCTAGGGCTACAACTACCTCTACTTAATTTAAACCATTTCCATTACAGCTACTTATGTTACGGCACTGTCACTCACAAAGCTATGTGCACCAATGGATTTATTTCTAGTTACCACCAGTTCTGCTATGACAAACATAATCATCTACTTCTATTACTACTATTATTAATCATTGCCAACTGACTGTCCTAATGCAGATGCAGAACAAACATCAGGAATCCATAGATTTTGCCCCAGTGTAGTTTGTAGGTGTGTTCAGTTTCTAGCTCTGGAACCTAGCATCCTGTTAGGTTTGCTACTTGCAGCTAGCAGTGTTACTTTTATGGTTATTGCTTATGAATATTCCAAGGCCCTTTCTGTCACTTGTGTCAGTTAGGCTGAGGCCAAACAGCACTATTTCAAGTTCTGTTATGTACAATGCGAAAAAGATTAGTACAGAACTGATTTCCGAGGAACTCCAGTCTATGTCTAGCCACTCATGACATCTCTTTGTTCAGTACCAATCTGTTTCCTATTTGTGGTCCAGGAATGAAGTTAGTCTGCTATACCATGTTTTGGCCAGCACTCTTCAATTGGGTACCATGTTAAATGCCTTATGGAAATCTGCACTTTTTCCCAAATAACACTCAGAAGGTACTCTCATGGCTTTCTTTTGTTTAAATAAGTACATCAAGAAATATGTTTAGAAGTCCTTACACCATGATATGCAAGTTCCTACTTTCTTCAAGTCAAGATAATAGTTTTAAGATGAGAATTATACATACAGAGACCCACCATACACTAAGTTAGACAATTAACTTTAGCAGACTGCAAACTACTAGAGTTGGTTTATTAAATATTTGCCATAAGGTTTTAACCCTTTCAGGGTCCAAGGCCCAAATCTGGAGTCACGCACCAGTGTCCAAGAATTTTCAAAAAAAAAAAAATTTGTTATTTTTTCTTATGAAATCGTAGAGAATCTTTTTGTGAAGGTAATAAAACAAAAAGTATGAAATTTGGTGGAAAATTGACGAAATTATGCTCTCGCGAATTTTGATGTGTCAGCGATATTTACGAATCGGCGATTTTGCCGACTTTGACTCCCATTTTAGGCCAATTACATTATTCCAATCAACCAAATTCTTAGCTATTTCACTAGTATTCCTTCTATTCTATCGATTGAGCACAAGAAATCACCAAGTCAACTGTTTCAACTACAAAATAAAGTGATTGGAAATTGTTAATTTGGCCAATTTAACACAAAGTTCAAAATATTCCAATTTCAAAATAGGGTCCAGAATAAACAATGTAGGCATTCCTGGCACTAAACTAACATTTCCTCTGTTCATTAGTTATGTTTTGAGGCTTTACAAATAAATTCCATTTTGATTTTTTATTCACATAATGAATTTTTATTCACACCAAAAAATAGAAGATTTACTGTTATGCAATACTGTAATAATTGTATAAATATCATCACCATATTTGTGAATGTATATTAGACCCACCAGCTGACGTGTATTAGACGTGTGAGGTCGTTTGTTTACTCTTGAATATCGGCAAAAATTTAACATTTCCGCTACTTTGAGCTCAGTTTCAAGCCATTTCCAGTGCTAAAACCAATCAAAATCATCTCTATTTCTGTAATATGTCTTCCATTCTATCAAATGAGACCAAGAAGTCGCAAATACAATTATAAAAAACATACGAAAAACACTGCAAAGTTGCTGTTTTAATCGAAAAATCATGATTTCAGTTTTTTCTCTCATTATACACAGTGTGCTGCAGGATCTGTTTTATGTGGTGCACACATACCACATAGATGTATTCTCTCATATCTAGGCCCAAATGTACCACTCACAGTTTATCAGAGTGAGCTGAGCTCATGGCGTAGATCTATGGTTTGGACACTCACCGTAAAGCCGTAGATCTACGGGACGGACCCTGAAAGGGTTAAATAGCAACAGTGGGAAGGGAAAAGGAAGTGCTAACATTTTTTAAAAAGGATTAAACTGAGAAGATACAAGTGGAAGTGAGAGGTGATGGCAATAGTGATCATTATATATTTATGAACAAGTTCTAAGATCATTAAGCAATTGGGGACTGGGAGGGAATAAAGCTTAATTCAAGGGAAGAGGAGCTCCATTTCCTTGGATATACTGTATGCCTAATATTAAGATTTCTTTATTGAAATATATACTGCTATTATGGGTCAAGAAGTGCAAACCTTAAAAGTAACAATTTATAAACTACTTATAGTACAAAACTCAATTGAAATTATCTCACCTGTTTGGAGATTTTGGCACAACAGGATACATATACTTGAAGTCTCTTCTATTAGATAACCTGTTTGTATTGTTTCTTGTTATGGCATTACAACTAGGAGGAGTAGGTCCAGCCCATTCTGCAGGAGAAAGTTTGCCTTTCTCAGTATCTTTTTCTTCTTTACATTCTTCTTGAAAGAGCTTTAAGGGGCCCATGGGATGGAAAAATCGGTAATAGAGGACCATGCATGATAAACCTGAAAAAAAAAAGATGAAATTTACAACAACTCCTAATTCTGAAAGACTGCAACATTCTTAATGAATTCAAAGGTAAGCTAAAATAATCATTATTTAAATACTGTAGTCAAATCATTTACCTTATCATATACAGTGGACCCTCGGTTATCAGCCATTCCGGATATCAGCCAATTCAATTTTCACCTGCTTTTCTGGCTGAAATTCTATCCCAGTTATCAGCCGTTATTTAGGAGATCGGCCATAGTGGACGTGTAATAAATCACTCTTGAGCACATTAAATGTCTTATTTTAGGTTAATAAAGACATTTTCATTAATCCATCTATGATATTTTCTTCAAAATTATATAAGAAACACGTTACTTAGCACATAGCATATAAACATGCAATGTTTATATGCCATCAAGTGGAGAGTCAGGTGGAGAGTAAACATTACGTTTTCTCTGATTCAGCATTAGAAAAAACTGAATCTGGCGTCTCGCACAGTAACCGCCCTTCATATGCGTTTGTTTACAATTCTCGGCATGAATTATTCATTACTTCTCCCTATGTTTATGATGGCATCTAAAGGTAGTTGTTAGTAATGATTGAACTCAGTGAACATGGTGATAATATGGCTGTGTAGTGTAATAATATGGCTGTGTAGTGTAGCTCAGGGGGGCTACACTACATAGAGAGGAGAGGGAGTTGGGGATTCCCAACTCCCTCTCCCCTCCTGCCTTCTTCAATATGCAAACAAGAGTCTTCAAGAAAGCTATGTAATGTTCATTTATCATTAAAATTTGTGCTTTATATTTATTTTGTCATTGTTTTCTGTATGTAAAACTATAGTTATCTTTAACCCTTTGAGGGTCGACAGGCCCTCTCCGAAACTCGTTCTCAGGGTCGGCCAAATTTAAAAAAAAAAAAAAATTATTTTTTCTTATGAAAAGATAGAGAATCTTTTCCCGATCATAAAGACACCAAAAGTTTGAAATTTGATAGAAAACTTACGGAATTATGCTCTCGCAAAGTTAGCGGTCTCGGCGATGTTTACGCATCGGCGATTTTGCCCACTTTGAGCCCCATTTTCGGCCAATTTCACTGTACTAGTCGACAAAAAACATGAATATTTCGCTAGAACTCCATTTTTTCTATCGAATGGGTGCAAGAAACCACTCATTTATGAAATTCAACTATCCAGTACAGTGGTCAGAATTTAGCAATTTTGCCAATTTCACACAAATTTCAAAGATGCCAATTTCGGAATAGGGTCCAGAATAAACAAGAAAGACATTCCTGGCACTAAAATGACATTTCCTCTAGTCATTATTCACGTCTCAAGGCCCCTCTTATATTCTTTTGCTTTCCACTTTGAATTTTTATTTTCACAAAAAATATAAGATTTACTGTTATGCAGACTACTGCATTAGTGTAAAAAATGGTATAAATATTATTGGTGCACTTGTGAAAGAATATTAGACTCACCAGTTGACGTGTATTGCACGCTTGGCACGATTTGTTTACTTTTGAAGTTTGGTAAAAATCGAACATTTCTGCTACTTTGAGCTCAATTTCAAGGCACCTTTCTTTGTAAAACCAGTCAAAATCATCTCTATTTCTGTAATATGTCTTCCATTCTATAAAATGAGATCAAGAAAACTAGAATACAACAATAAATACCATACGAAAATACACTGCAAAGACGCTGATTTATTAAAAAAAAATGGTCAAAGTTTTTTTTTTCTCATTATGCACTGTGTGCTGCAGGATTTTTTTTAGACTGTGCACACTGACCACATAGACCCATTCTTTCATATGAAGGCCTACCAGCTTTCTCCCACTAGATTTGAGGCCGCTAGAATTTATGAGTACTAGTACGTCAAAAACCCCTACGCGTAAGACGTACTAGTACGACGAAAACCCTCAAAGGGTTAAAAAATGTATTTTTTTGTTAATATTTTTGGGTGTCTGAAACGGATCAATTGGATTTACATTAATTCTTAAGGGAAATATTATTTCGATTTTCGGCCTTTTCAGATTTAGGATGACCTTCTGGAACAGATTACAGCCGATAACCAAGAGTCCACTGTACAGTAATTTTTTTTAATGATCTCTAATTGGAACTAATCTATTCACAACTAATCTAATTCACAATGAACTGTTCTTTTCAATCTGTTAATTACAACTGTTAATATTTAGTGAATAAACATTACTTATGGTAGTAGGTTGGTAGACAGCAACCACCCAGGGAGGTACTACCGTCCTGCCAAGTGAGTGTAAAACGAAAACCTGTAATTGTTTTGCATGATGGTAGGATTGCTGGTGTCTTTTGTCTGTCTCATAAATATGCAAGATTACAGGTACGTCTTGCTACTTCTACTTACACTTAGGTCACACTACACATACATATACATGTTTATTTATACACACTCATCTGAGTTTTCTTTGATTTTATCTTAATAGTTCTTGGTCTTATTACTTTTCCTTTTATATCCATGGGGAAGTGGAATAAGAATCTTTCCTCCGTAAGCCATGCGTGTTGTAAAAGTCAACTAAAATGCCGGAAACAATGGGCTAGTATCCCCTTTTCCTGTAAAAATTACTAAAAAGAATAAGAAGAAAATTGTCAAAGTGGGAAGTCTGAATGTGTGTGGATGTTGTGCAAATGATAAGAAAGAGATGATTGTGGATGTTATGAATGAGAAGAAGCTGGATGTCTTGGCTTTAAGTGAAACAAAGCTGAAGGGGGTGGGAGAGTTTCAGTGGAGAGGAATAAATGGGATTAGGTCAAGGGTTTCAAATAGTTAGAGCTAAAGAAGGAGTAGCAATAATGTTGAAGGATAACTTATGGCAGGAAAAGAGGGACTACAAATGTATTAATTCAAGGATTATGAGGAGTAAAATAAAGGTTGGATGTGAAAAGTGGGTTACAGTAAGTGTATATGCACCTGGAGAAGAGAGAAGTGTAGAGGAGAGAGAGAGAGAGATTTTGGGAAATGTTGAGTGAATGTGTGGGGAGTTTTGAACCAAGTGTGAGAGTAATGGTGGTTGGGAATTTCAATGCTAAAGTGGGCAAAAATGTTGTAGAGGGAGTAGTAGGTAATTTTGGGGTGCCAGGGGGTAAATGAAAATGGGGAGCCTTTAATTGAGCTATGTGTAGAAAGAGGTTTGGTAATAAGTAGTACATATTTTATGAAGAAGAGGATAAATAAATATACAAGGTATGATATAGCACGTAATGAAAGTAGTTAGTTAGATTATGTATTGGTGGATAAAAGGTTGATGGGTAGGCTCCAGGATGTACATGTTTATAGAGGGGCAACTGATATATCGGATCATTATTTAGTTGTAGCTACAGTTAGAGTAGAGGTAGGTGGGAAAAGAGGAAAATGGCAACAACAAGCAAGAGGGAGGTGAAAGTGTATAAACTAAGGGAGGAGGAAGTTCGGGTGACATATAAGCAACTATTGGCAGAAAGGTGGGATGGTGCAAGTATGAGTAGTGGGGGGGGTTGAAGAGGGTTGGAATAGTTTTAAAAATACAGTACTAGAATGTAGGGCAGAAGTTTGTGGTTATAGGAGAGTAGGTGCAGGAGGAATGAGGAGTGATTGGTGGAATGATGAAGTAAAGGGTGTGATAAAAGAGAAAAAGTTAGCTTATGACAGGTTTTTACAAAGCAGAAGTGTTATAAGAAGAGTAGAGTATATGGAGAGTAAAAGAAAGGTGAAGAGAGTGGTGAGAGAGTGCAAAAGGAGAGCAGATGATAGAGTGGGCAAGGCACTGTAAAGGAATTTTAATGAAAATAAGAAAAAATTTTGGAGAGAGTTAAACAAGTTAAGAAAGCCTAGAAAACAAATGGATTTGTCAGTTAAAAACAGAGTAGGGGAGTTAGTAGATGGGGAGATGGAGGTTTTGGGCAGATGGAGAGAATATTTTGAGGAACTTTTAAATGTCGATGAAGAAAGGGAAGCGGTAATTTCTTGCACTGGCCAGGGAGGTGTACCATCTTTTAGGAGTGAAGAAGAACAGGATGTGAGTGTGGGGGAGGTGCGCGAGGCATTACGTAGAATGAAAGGGGGTAAAGCAGCTGGAACTGATGGGATCATGATAGAAATGTTAAAAGCAGGGGGGATATAGTGTTGGAGTGACTGGTATTTTTGTTTAATAAATGTATGAAAGAGGGGAAGGTACCTAGGGAATGGCAGAGAGCATGTATAGTCAATTTATATAAAGGGAAGGGGGACAAAAGGGATTGTAAAAATTATAGAGGAATAAGTTTAATGAGTATACCAGGAAAAGTGTACGGTAGGGTTATAATTGAAAGAATTAGAGGTAAGACAGAATGTAGGATTGCGGATGAGCAAGGAAGTTTCAGAGTGGGTAGGGGATGTGTAGATCAAGTGTTTACATTGAGGCATATATTTGAACAGTATTTAGATAAAGGTAGGGAAGTTTTTATTGCATTTATGGATTTAGAAAAGGCATATGATAGAGTGAATAGCGGAGCAATGTGGCAGATGTTGCAAGTATATGGAATAGGTGGTAAGTTACTAAATGCTGTAAAGAGTTTTTATGAGGGCTGAGGCTCAGGTTAGGGTGTGTAGAAGAGAGGGAGACTACTTCTCAGTAAAAGTAGGTCTTAGACAGGGATGTGTAATGTCACCATGGTTGTTTAATATATTTATAGATGGGGTTGTAAAAGAAGTAAATGCTAGGGCATTCAGGAGAGGGGTGGGATTAAATTATGGGGAATCAAATACAAAATGGGAATTGACACAGTTGCTTTTTGCTGATGATACTGTGCTCATGGGAGATTCTAAAGAAAAATTGCAAAGATTAGTAGATGAGTTTGGGAGTGTGTGTAAAGGTAGAAAGTTGAAAGTGAACATAGAAAAGAGTAAGGTGATGAGGGTATCAAATGATTTAGATAAAGAAAAATTGGATATTAAATTGGGGAGGAGTACGGAAGAAGTGAGTATTTTCAAGATACTTGGGAGTTGACGTGTCAGCGCATGGATTT